AAACATGTTGATAAGGGAGTTAGCGGTCGTCTGGGTCGCCGTCCTCTTGTGCCATCTTCAACTAACGGAGTCTCAGGTAAGCATCACCACCTATAATGCACGCACTCTTACAAATATATAATTAATTTTATGCCACAAGACCGTTGTGCAAGTGACGAGTTTCAATAAAAATTTCTCTCTCTCTCTCTCTCTCTCTCTTGTTTATTATAAAACTCGTCGTATGTAACTTCTTAATTCCATTGTATTTATATCTATAAGCGCGTAATATATAAAACCCACACAAAAATCTTGTTTCTCGATTATATTATATGAATCGTAGGCATCTACAACACGCGAAATAGCCGCAAAAACCACACCTTCGTCATTGATCGAATGGAAAGTGCGAAAATTCTTCTATTCAGAAAAATCACACTGCGTCCAAGAGATACCTTTTATGCAACACCAACAGCAGAGGAAATTGCAATCTCTTGATTATTTTTTTTTTGTTCCCTTGAAATTATTATTTCACTAAAAAGTAGCCACTATAGTTTGTATTTTTTTTTATTGAATATAGTTTTTTACAATTTACAAATTTTATTTCCGTTTTTGTTAAATAGATAAATATTACCTGAAAAATTTAATAATTTTATAAAAGTTTATGTATATGTTACAGTTTCTGTCCATTTCTATATAATTTTTGTTTAATAAACTATACCATCTGTTTAGGTAAAATAATAGTTTTATTAATTTTACTTCCAAAATTTTTTAACTATTTTAAATCCTTTTTCATGCGATTTTAAAAGATAAAAATTAAAGGCTATTGGGAAATCGACGGTACAAAAATTTAAATATTATTATAAACAATTAAAAATATCATTATAAAAGTAAAAAAAAATAATATTAATATAGAATAATATTATTTCATTGAAAAATTTGAATTATTAGACTTCTATTCAGATGGATTTTTTTAAATGCGCAGAATATGGAAATTATGCGAATAATTGTTGTGTAAAAGTTGATATTGCAAGAAAGTGTCTTCAAGAGTTTGAGACTTAGTCACTCGACTGGAAATTATTTTAATTTCCACTTTTCTCGACTCGTCAAGATTGAATTTCCTATTTAGTGGTGTACTTGATATATATATATTTATATAGTGCAACTAGTCAACTGTGAAGACAATGTCCGGTCAATACCTTATAATCTTACTTTAATTGCTTCGCATTTTTATGTCTTCCAAACACTTTCGACTTTAATTCTTTTGTCAAAAAGTAAAATGAAAGGAAAAGTAATGATGACGAATTATTTTCACTTTGTTGATAATTATTATTATTACCAGTGATATTTTGGATTAATTATCGCTTTTCATTTTTCCATTACGTGACAGAATATTGTAATGATTTTTTTAACAGTTGACAATATAATTATAATGAAAAGTAGATAATAATTTATGTATTGCAGAAAAAGAAAAAAAATAGAAAAAAAAAAATTAATCAAAAGTAGAGAATTTATTTATTTATTAAACAATTGTTAATTTTCAATAGAAAATAAATGATAAACAATAAAAATAAAAATAAATGAAATAAATAAATAAATGAAATAAATAGTAGTAAATAATAATTAAATAATAAATAGAAATAAATAACAATCGTAAAAATTATAATTTACTATTATTAAAAGCTCAAATTTCGAATAATAAATAAAAAATCTAAATAAATAATACAAATAACTGTTTAGCAAATAATGAAAATAATGATTTAATGCTAAAATTAATGAATATACTAATAAATATGTAATAAAAAGGAAAAAACGATAATAGGACATAATTATGATAATAAATGAGATTTAATAATTAAAATAATTATATACAATACTTAATAAAAACAAAAAATTATGAATAAAAAGCAAAAAAAAAAAATAATAATGAAAATAAAAAAGCAGAAATAAAAATATAGCTACAACAAACAAAAAAATAAGTAAAAAATAAAAGTAACAAAAATAATAAATAATAAAAGTAAACAAATATTAAAGGTGAATGAAATACTAAAACGCGATATAACATTAAAAGTATTACAATAGAATTTCATAATGCAATCTACTGGTTAGTAATTTTGATTTGCATGAGCGGAATCAATTTAATTTCTTAAAATATCGTCAACTATTTTCTTGCATTAGGAAACGTAGCTTAATAAAAAGTTTAATAACTGCTAACAGTGAGTTAACAATCCTAACAAATTTAAAATTTATGATAATTTTATTCTACTAAAATATTAACTATATTCTTTCTTCCTAATCAAATTCAAAACATAACGTATAAATTATTTTTTTTTCAAAAATTCATTTTTATCATTACGATTATTCATTTCTAGAATTTTAAACTAAAATTCTTCTTTAAGTCAATTTTTTAAAAAATAATTTTTGAAAAAGTTCTCTGTGAATTTTACAAATTCTTTTGTTTAGAATTTAATTTTACGGAATTTCGATTATTCTGACATTCTTCAATTAAATATAATTAAACATTAAAAACTGCAAATAATTAAAAAAAAATTCTATTAAACTTAATATTGAGAAAAATTAATTATATATAATTCTTAATAAAAAATATGAAAAGTTCAATTTTTCAAAGACTTTAATTTGAAATTCATTTTTAAATCAATATTTATTAGAAAATTCTACGAGAATTCGATTATTTAACTATATAAAGTAAATATTTTATCAAACACTTGAATGTTTCTTAAAATTGAATATTCATAAAGAGTTTTTTCAACAAATTTTTAAATAATTGAATTCTCTTGACAAATTTTTCAAATTTTAATAAAATTTGTAAGAACATATTGCATTTCTCGAGAAAATTTGATGAAAATTGTATTAAAAATAATTGAAATTCTACCAAGAATTTAATTAAAAGTTTTGAAAATAATTGAATTTTGGAGAAAAATTTTTATTATTCATAAAGATAATTTAAATTTTGACGAGAATTTTTCTTAATTTTTAAACATGAAATTTCTGTGAAGAATTTTATAAAAATTATTTTGAAAAAAATTGAATTGTTACGCAAAGAATTCCATTAAAATTTTTGAAAATAATGAAATTCTTTAAAGAAATTTAATTAAAAATGTATTTAAAATAATGCTTAAATTCTAATAAATTAATTTTTGCAAAGGTTATTAAAATAATTAAATTAATTAATAAAAATTTAATTAATTAAAAAATTTAATTTAATTAATAAAAATAATTAAATTTCTTTGATAAATTATAATTATAATTATAATTATGCGAAGATTTTATTGAAATATTCAGGAAAGCTTCACACTAAACATTTATTTAATCGGTACATTTAAATCTGTACACAACTTTCAATAAACATTGCAATTAAATATTCCGAATATTGCAAGTAAATATTTAATAAATTTTTAGGAAAGTTTCGGTGCTGTGGGGGTTGGTAGGTTATCAATTTTGTTAAAATTTTTCTATAAAATGCATTCCTTTTTTAAAACTTATTTGAAGAACACATAACCTCAAAAAACATGTACTTTCGATATATATCCTTATGGAATATTATATATAATTATATAATTATATATATAATATAATTATTATATAATTCTTTTATATTTCCACTCGACGCATAACCTGAAAAAATTATTTTCTCACTACTTTTCTGTTAAAAGTCTATTCATGGAAAATAATTTTTAAGGTATTCTTTTGGAAGCTTTCCACTCATAATTCCGCTTGCGTGTGCACTCATTCTACTGAAGAAGACGAACCTGGAAAAAAAGAATCAAAAATAAGATAAACGACCTCAAAAGATGCTTAATTTGAAAAAAAGGAACAGTTTTGTCAGATAAGAATGAAATAGTATAAATTGATATAAATCTGAGATTGGTTTCATTAAATTGGTTATCGTTTGAAGGGATCACTATATATATATATATATATATACTCGGTCACTAACCGTTATGGGAGTAACGGATGAAAATAAAACAAATTTTTCCCCTGGCAACATAAATTTCATTCTCTGTTGGTAGAATATTGTTAGTAATCGTGGGCTTGGGTAACTGGAGTCTTGAAGATTGCGAGGCAATCGACATACCATCTTTGAAAAGAGTTAACTATTCGCTACCCGCGAGATGTGGCATAAATGCGGTGAAAGTGAGTTTCTGCACGCACCCATATATATACGCACACAGACAAATGCAATTATTGCATATAAAATATAAATATATATATATAACACAGATATCTTACACATATACAATGAAAAACGTTCACCCTTGTAAATTTTATACTCCGCAAACATAGTAGTGAATGTTATCGAGAGTCCTGTATATACACCTTTTTGCTTTAATTTAAATATTTTCAACAAGATGTCACACTGGTTGCTAAGATTTTATCAATATTTGTATTCTCAGTCCTCTCGCAATTTTTATAATATAATAAATTTTCGCTATTTTCGAATTTTTTCACATTAAGGTATAAAAGTTATTTTCTTTTATTTCAAGACATTCCACTTTTTTGCTATTTGCTCTTTTTATCCGCTTTTCTGAAATTTTTTTGTTTTATTTTAATTTAAACGAATTTTTCCTAAATTTTTAATTTAAAAAAATATTTATGCAAATTTATAGTAAAGTATACGAAATATTTTTTTTTGTCAATTTGACCCGAAAATACGGAATGAGAAATTAAAAATCTTTTTTTGAGGTTATGTCAAATTTTCGGTTTGAAAAAAAGATTTGGATTTAATATTATATAATGTATGTTAGGATAAGAATATTATGCACATATGATACAAAAGGGAGTTGCTCTTGAACTTTAAACATATATATGTATAATTGTGATTTATAAACCGAAAGGTTCGTGAATATTTTCCTTAACGATTTCCCATCGATTCGCAGTACAATCGTTATCACAATCGTAAATTCTTGGCACAAAACGATATATATATATACGCGGTCCATATAGGAATGTATATTAAACCGTTATGTCACTTTACGTTCAGCAGGTTAATACAACATTGAAAATGGTATCCTATTTCGTTTATATATGTACGTACATAAATGGTATAAATTATAAATGTCTAACATGTAAAAACGTCATATCATAAATTTTGTTTTTAAACATCATTTTTCATTTACTTTTGCATTAGGATTCTTTTTTTTAGTTACATTAAAAACCTATGTTCGCGTATATTATCTTACAAAAAGTCAGTCTAATACAAATTTTGAATCTTAATTCTAAAAAATTAAACTAAACTTAATACTTACGGTGAGACAGGTGAGAAAAGCACAATAAATTTTTCTATCTCCAAGTCGGCGTGGTGTATCTCTCGTCTGCTTGTCAGAGTGCCTGACGCGCCGTCTAGTCTTCAAATCTATAAGACGAAAAGGGCGCGAAAATTCGAATTAGATATAAATCATTCTTATTAATTTCTATTATTAATACTATTAGTTATTATTTTAGTTATCTCTTAATAAATGTAATTATAAAAATTATAATTTCGGTAATAACTCAAATGCTTAATTTCAATTAAACCTAAATTATAATTATTATTATTACTGTTTTTATTATTATTAATGAACATCTCAAAATATTTTGTTTAGTCTAATGGCTTATAATTAATATTTCATTATTATGATTATTAATGAATTAATATTAATATTTTAAGATTTTTATTAATTAAAGTATATTGCTTTATAAATTTCTTTTATTATTATAATTGTAATAATAATTATTGTTATTACTGGCAACAATTCGCAAGCGAACAACTTTTTTTTTTACTATTTTATATAAAATTAACAATTTTAAAAATGATAGTATTTTAAATAAATATTTATAAATATTTATGAATATTTATAAAATTAGTAAAAATGACAATAATGTATTTTTGTCATTGTTCCTTCATTTCTATTGGGAAATAAAAGGGAAAATAGAAATTAAAAATTGATTTACGATATGAAAGCAAGTGGAGGAGTTTTAAAGTCATTTTTCATTTTTGTTACAGGTTCCGAACACAAATGTCTTCACCTGTCCGAACGGTGAGTAAAGAGAGCGTCAGTTTTTTATTGTTCTGTAAATTCTTGGTAATTTTTCTATATGTATATTGTCACTAAATGGTAAGGCAAGAAAAGTTGAGAAGAGTAATTTATAATATAAAGATTTTTAAGTTCCCTTTTAAAATTTTTCCATTTTTGCGAATAGGTATATTATTTGGATCTGCGTTTCACGATTTACCTGCGCGCACAGGTAGAATCTACATTGTAGGGTCAAGGTCATAATTTTAAAAGGAAACAAACGCGATGCGCTTCAAAAAGAAAGTTCATAAAACCGAAAAACTTCAGTATACAAGCCAACCATATTGAAGATTTCAAAAGTCATCGTGATTGTTAATTTTTTTTATTTTTCTTTTAAAAATAGTATAAAATCGCAAAAAAAAAATTTTCTTTTTGATTTTTTTTTGTTGAATCATAAAACTTCTTGTATTCGTGATTCGAAACTTCTGCCCTAGATCTTGTGAAAACTGATAAATAAATATTATACTAGAATTTTAAAAGTATTGATGCTGTAAAAATTTTATTTATATTATTTTAAATAAAATTTATAATAAAAATAAAATTGTTACATTATATAATTTTTTTTATTATTATAAATAAAATTTTTCAGCATCAATCAAAAGAAAGTATTTTATTGAATTTTCGAATTGATTTTTGTATAAATATAATATATAAATAAATAAATAAATTTAAAAAATTAGAATCAAATGTCCAATTTAGATTACCATAAAATACTATAATAAGCTAATTATTTATTTTTAATTTCAATTTCCACGTTTAATATAATTTCAAATTATATATATTGCTGTGAAGAAAGTGTGAAATATTAATGAACAAGAAAAATTCAATATTATAAACAAAATGTGAATATTCATTTAGAAATTTATGCGTGATTTTTTATATCTATAACGGAAGATGATTTCGAAATTTTCCTCAAATCCAATATACATGGTGGAGTGCAGTTGTTTATATATAAATATTTTATACATATAGGGGCTTGAAAAATTTATTTTATTTATTCTCCTCTTTCTTTTGTCTTCAATAAACCGTTATTACCTATGTGACTTCTTCTTCACTTTCCAATGAAATAAATTTCAAAGAAAACTTTAAAAAAATTATATTACTTCTTATAATTAAAATTTGTCTTAGAATTTAAAAAATTATTTGTTATAATTTAAATATAGTTATTAAAAAAATTGTATATGAATATAGAAAGAAATAAAATCAAATAGAATTGAATAGAATCGAATAGAATTGAACAAAATTGAATTAAATCGATTAAAATCGAACAGAGTCGAATAAAATCGAATATAACCAAATAAAATCGTATAGAATCGAATTAAACCGAATAAAATCGAATTGAATCGAATTAAGTCGAATAGAGTCAAATAAAACCAAATAAAATCGAATTGAACCGAATAAAATCGAATAAAATTGAATAGAATCGAATAAAATCGAATTGAATCGAATTAAGTCGAATAGAGTCGAATAAAACCAAATAAAATCGTATAGAATCGAATTGAATCGAATAAAGTTGAATAAAATTGAATAGAATCGAATAAAATCAAATAGAACCGAATTAAGTCGAATAAAATTGAATAAAATCGAATAGAGTGAATAAAATTGAAGAAAAATAATTAGATTATATATTATATACATGTGCAGACAAAGGAAGTGAATTTTTTGAACAAATGATTACGCGAAGCGTAAAGAGTGGATTATTGAAGTTATAAGTATGAACGTAATGAAGAGGCTGTGATGCCATGGCAAGATACACGCAATGATGTGAGGTTAACGGCACGAAAAAGATTCTCCACTGATACCAGCAACCTACATAATTGTGCAGGCAACTCTTGTGTATATATACAAAAGTGGAACGACATTAACGAATGGTCGAATTCCACTGGGACCTTGTGGCTTATAATTTTCATCCAATTTCCGTCAACATTCCAAAGAATTCAATGAATAATGAAAATTATCGAGGAAAATGATTTTTTTTTTCTTTACAAATTCAAAAAAGGAAAAGAATTAAATAAAATAAAAGCATATATATTAAAAGTGTGTGTAAATGTATTTGAAAAAAATAGAGTTTAAATAGAAGAGAATAAACGAGGAATAAATATCAAATAGAATAAAAATTTAAAAAATTTAAAAAAATAAAATAACAAAATATAAACAGAAAATAACAAAAAAATAAAATAAAAATAGGAATAGGAATAGGAATAGGAATAGGAATAGGAATAGGAATAGGAATAGGAATAGGAATAGGAATAGAATAGAATAGGCAACAAATAGAATAAAAGCGAATCGAATAGAAGCGAATAGAATCGAATAAAATTGAATAGAAACAAATAAAATGGAGTGTAAAATAAAATGGAATCGAAGAAAAATAACAAAAACTATTTCTATACATAAAATTTTTTAATTCTTCCATCGACGAAAGGAAATATTAAAAAAAATTTATTTAAAAATCCCCAAAAAAATGCGGATGAAATGAAAACATAATTTTCTTCGACAATGATAAGCATGAGATCATATTCCTTTATTGAAGGATTACAAAAAAAAAAAAAGAAAGAAATAAAAAACTTATGGGCAATTCCACGTGAGATTTAAGTCGACCTCTTAAAATCGGCCAAAAATATTTTTTTTCTATTCTGTATCGAAAAAAAACAGATACGTATTTTTTTATTTATGTTTAATTGTCCAAATTTTCGAGTTATGAATTTTCGAAAATTTGGACTTTTAATTGTAGACCTATATTCAGTAGCTGATAAGTCCGAAAATATTGAGTTTAGGAAAAAGTTGTCAAAGAATGAAAGTTTTAGTTTTCTTTCGACTTTTAAGAAATGTAAACAAAAAAAAATTTTTTTTAAATTTTTTATTAAAAAAAAAATTTTTTTTATAAACAAATTATATCTATATCTATATCTTCTCTATATTATAAGGTACAAAAAAATAAAAAAAAATCCGTCCCAAAGTTAAAAAAAATTAATTTGTTTATAAAAAAAATTTTTTTGTTTACATTTCTTAAAAGTCGAAAGAAAACTAAAACTTTCATTCTTCGACAACTTTTTCCTAAACTCAATATTTTCGGACTTATAAGCTACTGAATATAGGTCTACAATTAAAAGTCCAAATTTTCGAAAATTCATAACTCGAAAATTTGGACAATTAAACAAAAAAAAAAAATACGTATCTGTTTTTTTTCGATACAGAATAGAAAAAAAATATTTTTGGTTGATTTTAAGAGGTCGACTTAAATCTCACGTGGAATTTCCCTTATATACATAATTTAGCCAATCAAAAATTCTCATCTTATATAGCTAACCGTTATTTTTGTGATGAGGAATCAGTATTATACATTTATATACATTGCTGAGACTAAAAATTTTTAAGAGCTCGTAAAAAAAGCTGATAGTATTATAGAGGTAAAAAATATACCTGTTACTGTATATACAAGATGAGTACGTATGATGATGTACGTATAATTGAATTATCATTCATCAATCTGGTTAGTGTGGTGAACCATCAGGAATATATATTGAAATTTTTGTAATTTTTTTTTTTACTCTTCATCAAGCATCAAGATACCTGTCATTTATATATATATATATATATATATATATATATATATTTATAAATTTACGGCTCTTCTGGGTTAGAGAAAAAAAATATATATGTATATATACGTATAGAATATAAAAGGAGACATGGGACATCAAGCTAATTTCCATGAGTTATATTCAAGGAGGAGGAAAACGACATTCCTTCAGAATGAGTCGATCCTTCTAGCTCTTTATACCTTTTTCTTAACCAAAATCACCGAGCACTAAACGGTAAGATTTTATCTTGAAAATTTTCTCTCATCCCGCCTTTAAATTTTCAATCAGGAAAATAAATCATAATTATGAATTAGCATTTTTCTTATTAAGATTTTAAAAAAAGGACATCGGTTTAGATATAAGAGGAGATAAAAAGCAAGATGGGAATAGTATTTGAATGAATGAGAATACTTCTATGTATATTATGTAACGCATAATACATAGTATATAATACATAGTAAATAATGCACAATATATATATATATATATATATATATATATATAATAATAGTAAATAATACATAATAATTAAAATACATTTTTAAATAAACAATGTATAGTATAATGATGTTATCACTCGATCGTCGAAATAATAAAATCATTAAAAATAATTATAATTATATTTCATATTTTATATTATTTATTATTATTATATTATTATTACATTATTTTATTATAATATAAATAAATAAATTATTTTATATTATATAATTATTATTTAAATAATAACTGTAAATAATTAAAAAATAGTTATAGCACAATTCTAAAATGGTACTTATAGTCAGGGTTGGACCCTTTGTGCAGTCATGGTTCGACTCCCCTTGAAATATAAATTTCACACACCATTTATAAATAAATATACAAAAGAAAATAATCTACCAAAGCGTCTTTTCATTGCACCTAGGCCTGAAAAAAGTAAAATTCTCTATTTTCTATAATTTTGCTTTCTCCTTCGTTTAAAAAAAAATTCTCTCTTTAAAAATATGAAAAAGAGGGAAAATTACAGAAAGAAACAATTAATGATGAGAAAAAAATTCTATACTTGAATGAATCACATGCAAGTGACATTTACAAATATTCGCTGAGGATATTATTTTCTATGTATTGTATATAAATTGCGGTCTCGTCAGTGAAGGAACATTCTTTGAACGTTTGACCTTTCTTTTATGCATTGAAACGAAAATATAATTCAGTCTTTAAATTGACATTTCATTAGGAATATTATTATATTCTTAATTTCTTATTATTCTTATTCAATAAAAAAAAAAAAATTATTATTTTGATTATAAATTTTTCATTTTTTTGTTGTTGAAATTATCTTTAAATGAAATATTAATGTGAATAGTATAATAATATACACAATATTTTAATGGATGTTTATAC